TTGAAGATCACATGTGATTACGAGTGGAACGGATGTCCAGAAGTGTGTCCATTGGAGTCGTTGTCTACACATCTCAAGACATGTCAATATCAAATATGCCAAACATGTGGTCTAACTGTGAGACTCACACCCAATGACCACAACTGTATCGAAGGTCTGAAGATTAAAGACAAAGAGTGGCAAAAGAAATGCGATTTATTGACAAAAGAGACCAAAGAATTGGAGATTAAACTAAAACTATGCGAACAAAAGTCACTGCATTTTGAGACCAAATGCAAACAAATGGAGACTTTAAACAAAGAATTGGAAATAAAACTAAAGGAATCCGATGAAAAGGTATTGAATTTAGAGTTGAAATGCAGTCGACCCAAGAGTTTGCCTCAACCTTCGCCGAAGTCTAAGAACTTGAATCCATCGCTGTTTACATCGCTATTCAATGAGAAGATTATGTTTACATTAAACGCTAATTATGTAATGTTTGGCGAATGTATGGCAAGTGTGGGCTCTATTAAGTTCACCGAAACGTGTATTAATTTGGATCATCGCTGTTTACATCGCTATTCAATGAGAAGATTATGTTTACATTAAACGCTAATTATGTAATGTTTGGCGAATGTATGGCAAGTGTGGGCTCTATTAAGTTCACCGAAACGTGTATTAATTTGGAAAATGTTGCGCTAAATGATAACGAAATGAGCGATCTTTTAATTATAATACCGTATTTTAATATTGATTACATGTGTGTGTGTTTTGACCCCTCACTGCCATTGGTTTGCATTAAAACTATCGGTATTATTGAAAATACATTGGCATTGAATTCATCACTATTTAAGGATCAATTTGATGTCTACTCTAAAGGTTTGTTATCATTTCTATTATAGCTTTATACAAGAATGCCATAGAATTACACAAATAATTATTGTTTTATCTTTGAATATCAGATCCGCGGAAACAGATGATTATCATTGAACTTAAAGAAGCAATTACTGAGACATTTGTCAAACCACTGCGTGAGAGTTGTAGTATTAATAACAAGTTTGAATACAAGACCATCGACTTAAAGAGGGGACAAATTATACAAAAGTGGGCAAAGAAACGGATTAATTAATCCGATTAAACATCAAATATTACCATTAATTATGACTTTACAGTTAAGTTAGTTGTGACACATCTTCTAAACTATTAAATATTTTATTTAATTATTTCGTTATTAAATATTTTTTGAATAATTGCATTATAACTCAATAATTAATACTTAAGGATTCATTGAAATAAAACTTTTTAATTCATTCAAAATTTATTTATCAAACAATACATAATTTAATTAAAACC